TTTGGGGCTGGTGGGAGACAAATATTCCCGTCTGAAACGTAAAATGGAAAACCTCGAATTAAGTACGCACCCCTTCTACGCACGGCCGGTACCACAGTGAACATGTAGTATGACAGTTCGTCGTTCCAAACAAATTTAAAATTGTTAAAAACTAGATTTATGCCGTGTACTACGCGATGGTATGGTAACGTAGCGGGAAACGTTTCAAGTTCTTTTGTTTTTCACCGCCGGCCGCAGCCGACTTGCAAGACGTCACCACCGCATCGAAAGGTAAGGCAAGTGCGGCGAAACGCACAGATTTGGATCCAGCTTTGGAGTGTTGGTGTCTTGGTGATCAAACAAGCAATGGTCAATAAAGATTCGTGAAAAAAAAGACAATATTTCAATATTGATTTTATCGGTAACGAGGGGGGGGGTACTTGAATGTTGATGCACAGGTACGTAGCTTTAATGTTTTTAATACGAAATGCGCCGAACACTTCTTTAATAGCGCCCGCGCGATTGACCCATCGGAGAGAAACAATCATACAGGCGGAGAACGGGCGGAGTATTTGGGTGTTGAGGTGCTACCGAATTTAAAATTTGACACCGAAACCAATTAACACACTGGGATCAATGGGACTTTCGATTCCGAACAGGAGAAAGTGACAAGTTTGACTGCGTTTCAAGTAATCTCTCGTTATGTGATAGATGTTTTTGTCACAAATCAAAGCAATAAACAGTGTGTTTATTAATTTGTACTCCGTAGAACTTATAAGTACAGTCTGTTCAGAGGAACTTCAAGAAAGACTTCCTTCTCGGGGTCCATGTTCTGGAAAGCTGTCCTCAGCGCTGCGCATGCCACGGCCCTCTCTGTGTTCTTCAGCTGTAGGTGTACTTTGCCTGTCGGCGCGCCAAACACCCCACCCACCGGCCGGGCGGTAAGATTTCATCAAAGGCTACATTTTAAGTTCACTCCGCCCCTATCATTGTAGCTTGCCGAACAGTCGAGTAGGAGTACATCTAGATGGAATTGTCACGTCGTACTGACTGGTGTAGCCCGCTACAAAGTAATTTCCTGTGGCATTTATCAAGATTTAAAAATATTTGTGATACGAAGTGAAACATGGTTAACAATTTCTGAACCTTTGAAACGACATGGGCATAATCTTTGTTGAAGATTCCTGAGTTGAACTCAAGCCGGAAGTGTATTGGAAATGATGACCATCAGTCGAGGCACAACTGTTATGTTATCACATGTTACGTTAAGACGATCAAGAACGTTCACGGCTTGCGGACCATTTCAAATATTACCACTCATAAACCCTACAATTGTATGTGTACTTACGGGAGGTTATATTTTTGCCGGGGTTCCACTGAGATCGGCGCCGGCTAGCTGGGGAACGATCCCGTCGGCATGACAAAGCGCCGGGCGTCATTGCCAGAGACCTACATTTTCTTACCGTGGGTGACTCGACTTCTTCTTTTACCGCAACTTGGTGTCAATATCGACGATAGTCACAGGAAATATGTTCATTTATTGAAGTTTAACTTTATTTCCACTCGTCAATATTCTTATCTAAACATGCTATGGACGATCGACGTTCCAAGCTGCCCGTGCCGGTGTCCCGCTTTATTCCTGGGTCGTCCACGGATTTATCGGCGGAAAACTCAAATAAAGTACGCACTGCGACTTTGGCGACGGCCCGAGACACTTCTGGGATTTTAAAAAATGTAAAAAGTGCGTACTATATTAGGGAATTTACGGCGTATTTCTTGTAATTCGGTACTACGCGACGCCATATTTTACAAAAGTTTTTCGGTGGCCCTCCCCCCCCAGGTCGATTTTTTTTTCGATGGCCCTCCCCCCGGCTCAAATTTTTTTCCATGGCCCTCCCCCCAGGCCAAAAAATTTTTCAATGGCCCTCCCCCCCAGTGCACCAGCCCTCCCCCCCGGTAAATATCGTACAGTCCCTTATCTATGCAGACATGTACAAAATGTAAACAATATGCTTTAATCCTTGAGCCAAATCTCCCAATCAAACGGTTCTTTTGTTGTTTATGAGGCTGTGAATGGGACACAAAACAAAGCTGTGTTGGGATTTGAAGCTGAAGCACTACATATGGGAGAGTACTCCCACGACATTTGTATACACACAATGAAAACAATGCATGTACAGTTTTGCATACAAGCAACAAGAAGCAAGCATTCATGACATGTGCCTTGTTGATTACTGGAAGCAGTCTCCTGGGCCTAAACTAAAAGTTTTTCATTTTGCTAACATAGAAAAATTGTACTATATCCTGAAGTTCATATTTCATACAGCACTGTATTAATAATAAGTACCATAGCAGCAGACTTCCAAATTACATGTACATGTCAGATACTGTAAACAGTATAATTGTATACTGAAAATTTATACCATAAATTATAGGACTGCTCTCCATGACAGTATTTTTAAAAAATTTAAAAACTAATGGTTTAATTAACAAAGTCTAACTGTGATGGCATTTTGTGAATGACACAGATTTTCTAGCAAATTAAAATTTGTTTGTAAGCTCAGGAATGATAAGCTGTATTCTAATCGGAATTCTAGTCTGTATTCTAATATGTATCTTTTCCATTTCTTACTGATTAACCAAGATTTGTAAGTCTCTGTTGTTGTTGTTGTTTTGATGTAGCTTGGCTGTCGTCAACATGGCCACGGAGGAAGACATGCGAGATGAACTCTACAACATGCAGCAGAAGATAGACCAAACCACAGATGATGTAAGTACTCAGCAATATCATGTTTAGATTCATAACAAATCTAGAGCATCATTTTGTTTGTACAGTGTATTTATCAGCAATGATACTAGACTACATTTCATAATACTTGGGTCAGCGCAGGTTAGTAATCATGGCTGACCCACAAAAAGTACTGACATAAGTTTCACATAACACAAAAACAAATAAGAAAATTAGAACCTAAAATATAAATCCTGCAATAAAAGGAATGATTTATAAAGTACAATAAATAAATACTTAGGAGGCCATACATAGTAATGATTAGGGGTGGGTACCGGTTCAGTCGGACCGGTTTGGACCGGAACAACATTCAAGAACCGAGTCCAAAAAACCGAAACGTGAAAACCGGATGACCGGACCTGATGTACATTTCTGTAGATTGTACCAAGGACATTATACACAAGGCTTTCTTATACAATGTCTCTGATTGTACACACATCTTTTGATAATCTGGCCATGACAGGTAAAAAAAATAACCCTGAATCATACTAGATCAGCCTAAATCCATGTTTATGCGTTCAAAAACAAGAAAAAAATTGTTTCCCGGTATTAATCTCTTGAAACACGGCGCTGAATATTGACGCAAAAATATTTCGTGCATCGCGCGCCTGTATGCAAATCCCGCGTCACGTGTCGGCATTTCGCATCTCTGATTGGTTGTTGCGTCCGCCGCCGGCGCTGCTGGCGGTAAGACTTGAGCGAGCCGACACGCTAGTAAACAACTTTTCTTTGTATATCGATATAAGCGCTAAAATGCTATTTTCCACAACCACACATCGATATTCTAGTGAAGAAATGCATAGTTTCAAGAATCAATGGGGAAAATATATGCTTCTATGCGGATTTTTAGCGTTTTCGACGTGATTTTGTCGTCACTAAACCCGGAAGTGTGGACCGCGGCGTGGCGAAATTTTTAGCGTATTTTACCCTGCGTTTTACCAATCAAAAAAAATAAACAACTCCCGCGAACCCTGTAACATTTTAGATCGCAGCAATTAAGTATGTGATCAAATTATTTGTGGATGTGCTGGCATTTCAGCCGTATTATTCATCGGGAAAAGCGGCCTTATGCACGGCCGTGCCGTGTACACCAAGAATAGCTGATGCTACTACTAGTACTAGCAGTACTTGTGTTTCGCTTGCCAAAATATGATATACTATACTACTGTACAATAATCAGGTCCGGTTCAGGTCCGGACCTGGACCTGATCCTCTGAACCTGATCCGGACCTGGACCTGAATTTTCTGAACCGGTACCCACCCCTAGTAATGATACAATGTAGGAAATCATTTTTAAACAGGCCATATGTAGCAATGTAGCTTGATGGGCCTACAATATATAAGAACTACAAGTTGGAGTAGATGGAATGGTTTTTTAGTTATTACTGAATTGATCATGAAAATAAGAACAGGGTGGGTTTTCCATTGAGACTTGAATTTATTTCTGAGTACAAATGTAGACTGTTCCAGAGCCATTAGCCAACACACAAAACTTAACATCCAACTGGCAAACCTTTGTTTCTTACATAACCGAGCTTGAGGCTCAGGGCTCGAAATTCATTTTTGGGAATAGGTCAGGCACTGGTGCACCCAACCTAAAAAATTGGGTGCACAAAAACTTTTTTGGGTGCACCATATAACATGTATAAGATGAAATAAGTAGAATGTCAGCAAACTTTAATAGGTAGAATGTCACTGAAACTTATATGTATGTTTCATTTCTAAAGAAAAGTACCATGACAAAGATTTTATTATTTTTCTGACACATAGATGTTAAGAATATGCTGTATACTACTATACATTGAACATCTTTACATAAGTAAACCTATGAAAATATTTGGGTGCACTGGTGCACCCACAGAAAAAGATTGGGTGCACAGCTCCGAATTTCGAGCCCTGAGGCTATTACTAGAAGCAAATTGCATTTTTTTCTTTCAAAAGACACTGTAAATGGTTTCTATTAATATGGCTGCTTTGTGAATGAAATTAGCATATCTATTGGTTGCCATAGGAACCATAGATGCTGTTACCATGGTTCTGGGACATCAATTATTCCAGCTTCCTTTCTTCACTGTGAAACTCTGTTAGGGAGCCATTATTACATTCAGTTCATGAGATTGCCAGTACATTGTATTTCTTTCTACCCCGTGTTACCTATTCTAGATCTGCAAATGGATTTTCTGTAGAAAAAAAGTTGTGCAGGAAAAATCTGTGCAAAGATTTCAAGTCCTTTTTAGTTTTAGTAAGTGAGAAAGTGGGTAGTACATGTACATGAATATGGTTTTTAGGTACTAGGGAAATATCAAAAGTAGTTAGCACTCGCTAAGATTCAATTAGGGTTTTTTTCTAGATGGTAATTGTCAATGAGTAATATTATATATTCGAATTCCAGATGGTAGTTTAATTTGTTAAAGTTAAAAACGGTGAAAAACCAGGTTATGCACTGGTGCCCATTTGTGGTGGGATTTATACAAAGGTCAGAAAATAAAAGCCAAGTTTGATGGGTGGATTCCTTTATTTAAATCCTACAACACTTTCAAATGATGTACAGTGAATCAGCCACAGTAAAAGTTATAACAAGATGGGTGTTCTTCTAGCCAGTCTTTTGGTCATTTGACAGAAGTTTGCTGCTCAAGACGGACAGATATTTTGCCAAATTCGTCTTCTTTGATCAACAAAAATTTTGCTCAATCCAACATCTTTGACAAAAATTGGTAAATTGGTGTGAAAGATACAGAATGCGATGTCATTAAAATAAAGTCACCGAGCAAAATATGCTCCCCAAAATGCTGGAAATGATGTTTCAGAGTCACCTTCAATACTCGACATGATGTAACTTCAAACAAATTGATTGACAGAAAAAAAATTGCAGGCTGGCTAGAACACTGAACAAGCCCTGTTATGTACAGTCGATAGACCACATCAGTGGGATTCTCTGTGTACTTTCCTTGGTGCTGAACCACCATCCACCATCCATGTGTGTTCCCAGTCCTGTCCTCCCACGGTTCATGTGGGCGTTATCATTCATAAAGTACCTTGACGTCAGAGCTAATGACGTCAGACTTTTTGTCCCCACGTTGTCTGCAATAAGGCCTGGGAAAAAATATGTTGTGTTTCCTGTTTCAGTCCCACAAAATTTTTTCCTAGCGTGTCCAGGTTTCATGTTGTGGATGCAGTCTTTGCTCTCTTAATAGTCTAATGAAAGGGGAACAAAAAAGATCTTGATCTGTGTTCTAGCCAGCCAGAATTTTTTTCTGTCAACAAAATTTTAAAATCTTAGCTCTTGCCACCTTTGCTGGTAGTCTAAGCTTAGTTTAATGACATCTCTCTTCATAATCTTTACGCGCCCATTTTTGTCCATCAAAAATGACCGATTGGGCAAAATTTTTGTCTGTCATGACTGGCAAAATTCTGTCAAATGACAAAAAGATGGGCAATGGCTAGAAGGCTGGTTTCAATATTTTAGAGATACATGTATTTAGCTATTTTAGAGATATAATAATAATAATAACCATCCCTTCTCATTATATTTTCTTTCTTTCATTCATTCAATCTTTATAGTAGACAGGAGTCAAGATTATGAACCTGCATTTCTCCTCTGGTCTCTCAGCCGTTTCCAAAATCATATCCAGTTGCATGAGTTTTTGGCAATTGCTATGAAAATAAGGTATTTTCACAACAGGAATATCCAAATTGTATGCACACTTTGCACGCCAACAGTACATGGTAACAGGCAATTTTGCCTTAACAACTTGTGTACCTCAATATGTATAATTAGGCCTTACTATTTCCAACAGATATTTGGTCTTTTTTGTAACAAAATGTATGTATAAGTTGCAACTTGACACTACTGCTATCCACAGAATTTAATTGGAGCGCCCTACAGCTAATGGCTGTTTATTGTCAGAATGTAGCGGCGGTTTTTATAATAGCCGCGGGCTCTCAGCCAGCCAGGCCTTTATGCACGTTTAATGATCATGATCTGAGGAAAACCCACGCTCCCCTAGCAGCAAAGTTTGTTGTTGTTGCTTCCTGTTTTCTTGCGTATACACATATAAGGGCAAATTAGGTACCCACGTTCTGAATGCCGACTGATGCGTGCTGATGACGTCAAATCAAACTAGTAAGATGTTATCCTCGTCGTTTGAAGACCGCGAAATCAAGACAAGTGATAATCTGTGGAGGATTTTGAACGTTGTTTGCATTTTTTTGCCATGTTTCAGTCGCTGGAGAGTACCAGGCGAATGCTACAGATGGCAGAGGAGGTATGTGTTGAATTTCGTTATTCATAATATTTCTTAATTAAACTTTTCCATTTACTAAATTGAACTTGAAGGGGAGACAAAACACGTGATTTCTCACCACTACTACTTGAAGCTATTTCAATTCGACGTTAGTTGTAGCTGGTTCGCTATAAATATATAAGTATAATTTAACTCTCTAGCGTTGTCTGTTAATGTAATCTGTTAAGATTAACTGGTCATTTTCATTGATTATTTATAATACGTATAATACGTAGCACATTATTTGCTACCTAAAATTTACTGGGATGTGCAAAAGTTACAACAGAGCATCAGTTTGTGTCACCATAGATATAATGGTACACGTAGAAACAATACAATTGAACTCGTTTCCATTTTTTTTACAAGGACAAGTCGATTTATTCACAGTTTAACATTGCCTGCACTCCTGGATGAACCTTCAATTGTTACCTGGATCCCCCCATGCAGACCCTCATTAGTGTAACCCAGATGTTCCACATTGATTGTTTCTGTGTTCTCATCCTGAATGCATAAAGTCATGCTTTTACATGTACCTGCAGCTATAACAACTGGATCAGACAGTGTTTTGTGTATTGAATATGTCTGGACAAATAAAATATACCTTATATATACATGTTATATATAATGTTTTTTGTGACCTTCATCTCCAGATTTGACCTTGAACTGGAATGACCTTTGAATTTTGTCATGCTGTCTGCAGTATTGTGGATGTCACAGTGGCTTATGTGCACTTGACTCAGTCTGGTAGATTAAAATCTGAAGTATGTGTGGACCTTTTTACAGAGCTGACAGAAACAAGCCCAAAATTTGTCCGTCCATTCAAGAAAGGTCCAGCATACATTGGAACATCCAATGCAAGGAACTACACTTTTAGATGTACTCTTTCAAGTACAACTGTGTAACTAACTTGGTCACATACATTCCTTGTCAGATACAGGACTCACTATTTACTGTCATTTCATAAATGTTCATTCATTCAGAATATGATGCCCAGAGTTACATAAGGGACTAACCATGACTCAATGTTTTTTAAGTGTGCACGATGGACATTCCCTGTGTAATTTTGAGCCCTGGGTGGTTGTGTCATTCCCTTGTCTTGTGCTTTGCTCCCCTGCAATATCCCTGGAACAGGTTACAGCTCATGTCAGGTAAGGGGAGTTCGGCAGTCACTCCACGCACCTTTCAATGTTTGAAACAACACCGCCAGGTTTCCATATGCACCATATTTTTGCCCTCTCGGTTGCCCTGTTAGAAGATAGTTGTCCTATCTTCTCGACAAGGCAGTGTGTTTGATCCTTTGCTTTCTTCTTTTAATTGACTGTACGAAGGCATCCTTTCTTTTTCAGATGTCGCCAGTTTTCTTCTTTGTCATGAGTTTGTATTGGTTGATGAAATACTTACATGTAGTTCCTCAGTTTATATTGGTTAACTGAAAGATGTTACGACATGATTTGTACACTAAATAGGTGCTGACATGTAGAACAATTAATAGTACATGTATTTATATATATACATGTACATGTATGTGTGTGTGTATTGTGTATAATCATCAGAAGACAATGTATTCAAATTGTCACCTTGCAATAATTGCTATAGCTCAGCACTAGTAGATTTTGTCTGCTATTAAGTATACTTATTATATATAGTAACTAATAATTAGGTATCAGTTTCTTTACTTTGATTTCTTAGTCTGGAAAAGTTAATTATGGTTTCTGGTCTTTCTGTACATACAGGCATTATAAGTTCTATTCTTTAGTAGTGATTGTCTTAGTAAAATGAAAGAAATACTGCTTTAAAGCTTTTGAGGGTACAGTCAATAGTATGGTAATTTACAGTAAGTATAGTTAAGTTCTACATTGTTGGTTGGTGAATTAGTTAATTGTTCAGTATGTAATTTTTTCATGTTGCATAACATTCAATCTATTTATAAAGATTAAACTTAGCAATAAAATCGGTATATTCTATGATCCATTTCCTATTAAAGCTACCAAAAAAACTTTTTTCATCTTTTTTTCTTCAAATTCTGAATGTGCATCTAACTTTTTTCAGAGTCAAGATGTGGGTATCAAGACACTGGTTATGCTGGATGAACAAGGAGGTAATACAATATATTTTTTTACTCATATGATCTATAATTACAAATGTAGTATAAAGTATAATATTTTAATACATGATGATGTTCAGACCATGCATGATGTACAAAACCATTACAATGATGGATGTATAAACTACCAAGTATCTAATGCCAGCTCAGAAAAGAGCAAAGAATAGTCAAGCCGTCTAGTACCAGAGTTATCAACCAATTTGAGGTGTTCAAAAACTTTCTTCTAGAACCATCATAGAGTGGAACTTGCTGCCACCAAGCACAGTTGGGGCATAATCATAGCTGTAAATAGCATTTACAGTTAGATGTGCAAAGGTTAGGTGTAACAGGCCGTTCGGTATGATAAAGCCACCTGCACCACTGCGCCACATGCCTGCAAAGCTGGTGTGTTACACCGAAGGGCAGTTACAATAGCATATGAAATTATACAGAAGCTGGCAATAATCATTTTACCCAGCTCTAGATCCCCTGTGTGTGAGTGAGATCCCCTGCAGTTGTTGCTGTATTACTCCTTTGCAAATTTGACCAATTGGCAGTAACTTGTCTGATGCCCTTGATTCTCATGTAGGGCTGTTTCAAAATGCACTTGAATGTCATGATCACTGGTAAAGGCCATCTAGCTAACAGCTGATTAAGGGTTGAACATAAATCCTCTCCAACTTCAGCACACAGACTTATTATTAATAAGCAGTCTATTGCCCCCTGCTTGGTGGTTGGTTGAATGTAGCTAATTTAACTTGTATTGAAAAAAGTGGCCCTTAGTTATATAGTTGCTAAATGAACTAACTAGTGCCTACATTTACTAAATATGATAACAAGAAATGTGAGATTCAAAATCTCGAAGAAGTATACAATTCAAAATGTTCAGAATGACTGCTGAGAGTTAAAGACATAATATTATGAGAAATGTTAGCAAATTAGCATAAATTATGAATATTTAATGATACAAATTACATACAATTGTATAAGATGTTAATCAATGTTAGAAAGGATGTGTGATTTAAGCAAAAAACCTAGAAATTTTTTTGTTTAAACCAAAATTACTGAATTTTCCAAAAACTGCCAGAAACCAATTGCCTTGGCAACACGAAAATATATTAACTTATTTCATCAGTATGAAATTGTTGATGGATAAATTTTAGGAAAAGTCACCAAATTTGATGGTTCTGGTGCAAACTGTTCAGGCGCTATCCGATAAGAAAGCTAGCATGGGCCTCAAAAGCCCTCAGGGCACAGCACAGTAATAGGGCTTTCCTATTACCTCCGGGTAGGGATGTATATCCCGAGCGCGGAGGTTTTGTGAGGGAAGACGAAAATTGCGTTCGCACCCGTTTCTCGCGTTTGGGTGGACGGATATGTCTGGGACTTGGTATACGTTTTGCTGTTGGGCTGTAGATGGTGCACGTTGTTTTGGTTTTTTAGTATGTGTGTTTTAGTGCGTGAAAATGATGCGTTTAGACCGCCGATGGACACCCCTTTCAGTGTTGGTCGGGCCTCAGCTTTTGACCTTTGCATGTATAATCACCATTGAGGTCGCGACCACTGATCTGACCTTTCACACAGAGGGGTGTCAGCATTCTTTGAAACTGTTCAGATGTGAACCACATGTGCCGTCAATCAACGTCTCGTGCCTGGTGGGATCGCGCGGGTCGCAGCCAGCGAACTTCCGGGTGGGCCAATGGGTCAGGGGTCAACGCCCTCTTGCGCAATTTCGGATGTTTTCGGCTTACAAATACTGTCTCAGACCTTCTCGGGACTCGGTGTATCTTCTGTTAATGGGCTGTAGATGGTGCAGGTTTTTTTTGTTTTATTGTATATGTGTTTTGGGGCGTAAGATTATTTGTATTTCCTTTTCGTGTCTCGGACACCCGTTACTGTGTTTGTTTACATTATCGCTGGTCGCTGAGGGTCGGGCAGCCAGATTCGCCACGGGATGCCTCCTGTCCTTTCTATTTTTGGGCTCCAGTCGGCTAGGGGGGATTAGTGATTTCACACATCATTTAGCCAATTACAAACATTTCGAAACTTTTCTAAAAAAATGGTATTCGCGCGAATTCACTAGTTAATTCAAAGAACAGTCCCAACATGCACCCAACATTCTGCAACATACATTACAATACCCGGAGGTACAAAATCTACGATTTTCCTTGTGTTAATATATGGGAATTATGTCAAAACAACGTGGTCAACATTCATATACCTGAGTTTTAGACCTTGAAGAACATACATTGGCAGGGTAGGCCAACCTCTCAAGTCTCCATTCCCAAAAAATGACAAAATCCTACGCACCTAAACCATGCGAGAATTCTACCCAAACATTGAGAAGTGACCCCTGACCTCTCTGGACAGCTGATGACCGCATGTAAACCTATATCTTCTTCAGCCAGCCAGACAACACAAACATGGCTGCAAGTCTGTTTTTTCACCAAAATTAAAATACTACAACCCTTACCTATAACATTCAAGTCCAAAACAACAACATTTCCCTAGGAAAAGACTTCTTTACACTCTACATTACATTGCCATCTCTATATACTAAAACTGGGCCCTCTGCGCCTGCGCTATTACTAACCTTTGCCCTGTCAGGGCGGCCAAGTTCAAGGTCGACAGGTTTCAATCATTTCACATAAACCGGGGAGGGGTTGTTAACAACCATCCCAAGTGTCGAAGATGTCAGACCAGGAATGGTCCCCTGGGAATAAAATCTAGAAACAGGTGTCTGGGGCCCTTTTCCAGGTCTAGGGCACTAGTCTAAGGCAATTGGCGAGGCCCATAATAATGAGCAAAAAGTAATAAAAACAGAAGGAAAAGTCAAAAGCTGCTCACCCTGGCATAAGGAAGCTATCTTTCCTCATGCCAGGCCCCTAAAGTTGCATTCAAGTTAGCCTTTTAGCATTTTAGGGACAGTATATTGCATTGTCAATAAAGAATACAGAAAACTATTAAAAATGGCTAAAAACACTGAAAATCTCAAAATTTCGTGGAAAATCTGGGTGCAGTGAGTCAGCTGATGCCTGCTCCTTGCCCAAATAACTGATTTCAGGGAAATATAAGCCCTTACAGCCTATCTGGACCCCCTCCTCAAATGGGTGCAGGGCACAGCACAGTAATAGGGCTTTCCTATGTTAATATATGGGAATTATGTCAAACAACGTGGTCAACATTCATATACCTGAGTTTTAGACCTTGAAGAACATACATTGGCAGGGTAGGCCAACCTCTCAAGTCTCCATTACCCAAAAATGACAAAATCCTACGCACCTAAACCATGCGAGAATTCTACCCAAACATTGAGAAGTGACCCCTGACCTCTCTGGACAGCTGATGACCGCATGTAAACCTATATCTTCTTCAGCCAGCCAGACAACACAAACATGGCTGCAAGTCTGTTTTTTCACCAAAATTAAAATACTACAACCCTTACCTATAACATTCAAGTCCAAAACAACAACATTTCCCTAGGAAAAGACTTCTTTACACTCTACATTACATTGCCATCTCTATATACTAAAACTGGGCCCTCTGCGCCTGCGCTATTACTAACCTTTGCCCTGTCAGGGCGGCCAAGTTCAAGGTCGACAGGTTTCAATCATTTCACATAAACCGGGGAGGGGTTGTTAACAACCATCCCAAGTGTCGAAGATGTCAGACCAGGAATGGTCCCCTGGGAATAAAATCTAGAAACAGGTGTCTGGGGCCCTTTTCCAGGTCTAGGGCACTAGTAATAAGGCAATTGGCGAGGCCCATAATAATGAGCAAAAAGTAATAAAAACAGAAGGAAAAGTCAAAAGCTGCTCACCCTGGCATAAGGAAGCTATCTTTCCTCATGCCAGGCCCCTAAAGTTGCATTCAAGTTAGCCTTTTAGCATTTTAGGGACAGTATATTGCATTGTCAATAAAGAATACAGAAAACTATTAAAAATGGCTAAAAACACTGAAAATCTCAAAATTTCGTGGAAAATCTGGGTGCAGTGAGTCAGCTGATGCCTGCTCCTTGCCCAAATAACTGATTTCAGGGAAATATAAGCCCTTACAGCCTATCTGGACCCCCTCCTCAAATGGGTGTCAGGGCGGCCAAGTTCAAGGTCGACAGGTTTCAATCATTTCACATAAACCGGGGAGGGGTTGTTAACAACCATCCCAAGTGTCGAAGATGTCAGACCAGGAATGGTCCCCTGGGAATAAAATCTAGAAACAGGTGTCTGGGGCCCTTTTCCAGGTCTAGGGCACTAGTCTAAGGCGTCGTGTGGCGTCGTGTGGTGTAGTGGTACATCACTGGACTATGAAACGGGGAGACCCGGGTTCGATTCCGGGTCGTACCCGAACAAGTCCGAACATGCGCCCCGACGTTGTACCCTTGGGAAAGGTACTTTACACGACTTTCCTCACTTCACTCAGGTGAAAATGAGTACCTAGCTTCGGCTAGGGACGTCCCTCGGATAGGACGTTAAATGGAGGTCCCGTGTTTGGGAGAGCCACAACCCACGCACGTTAAAGAACCCACCACACTTATCGAAAAGAGTAGGGGACCTTCCCGGTGTGAGTGGTTCAAACATTACAGTCTGGTCTCAGGTTTGACATCTTTGAAAAGGTGATAGTCACCTGTTATGTCAATCCTTCCACAAATAGTGGTAAAATCGTACAATAAAATAAAAAAATAAAATAAAATAAGGCAATTGGCGAGGCCATAATAATGAGCAAAAAGTAATAAAAACAGAAGGAAAAGTCAAAAGCTGCTCACCCTGGCATAAGGAAGCTATCTTTCCTCATGCCAGGCCCCTAAAGTTGCATTCAAGTTAGCCTTTTAGCATTTTAGGGACAGTATATTGCATTGTCAATAAAGAATACAGAAAACTATTAAAAATGGCTAAAAACACTGAAAATCTCAAAATTTCGTGGAAAATCTGGGTGCAGTGAGTCAGCTGATGCCTGCTCCTTGCCCAAATAACTGATTTCAGGGAAATATAAGCCCTTACAGCCTATCTGGACCCCCTCCTCAAATGGGTGCAGGGCACAGCACAGTAATAGGGCTTTCCTATGTTAATATATGGGAATTATGTCAAAACAACGTGGTCAACATTCATATACCTGAGTTTTAGACCTTGAAGAACATACATTGGCAGGGTAGGCCAACCTCTCAAGTCTCCATTCCCAAAAAATGACAAAATCCTACGCACCTAAACCATGCGAGAATTCTACCCAAACATTGAGAAGTGACCCCTGACCTCTCTGGACAGCTGATGACCGCATGTAAACCTATATCTTCTTCAGCCAGCCAGACAACACAAACATGGCTGCAAGTCTGTTTTTTCACCAAAATTAAAATACTACAACCCTTACCTATAACATTCAAGTCCAAAACAACAACATTTCCCTAGGAAAAGACTTCTTTACACTCTACATTACATTGCCATCTCTATATACTAAAACTGGGCCCTCTGCGCCTGCGCTATTACTAACCTTTGCCCCTCAAGGGTTAAAGAAGTGTGGCACAGTCCCACAAGTCCCACAGTGGACAACAGCTGTTGATGATATAAAAAAAAAACCACATCACATACAGCACAGAGGTGTTGAACTGCCAGGGACTTATCAGCTCGACTTATTGCTCCCCCCCCCTCTTAGGGGTCCGCTAGTAAGGCTATCTCTAAGAGTAACTCTAGCCTTAGAACACCTGTACAAAAGCTAGCTGATACAAGCACTAGTAATAAGCAGGTTAGGACTATGCGACTAAATCTTGTTTTTTTTCTCACCACCAGAGCAACTTGACCGTGTTGAGGAGGGGCTTGATCGGATAAATGAGGACATGCGGCAGGCGGAGCGCAACCTGACCAACCTGGAGAAGTGCTGCGGACTCTGCGTATGTCCCTGGAAAAAGTCAGTATATTATATTCAACTCTCACATTTCCTCTTTTTTGTCCACGAAATATGGATGTATCATTTTTGGGATGACTGTGTGTGTGTGTGTGTGTGTGTGTGTGTGTGTGTGTGTGTGTGTGTGTTTGTGCGTGTGTGTGTGTGTCTGTTTGTGTATGTGTGTGTGTTGTGTGTCTGTTTGTGTATGTCAGTGTTTTCGCATATTTGTGGTCAGCATATCTTAAGAAGGCCTGAATGGATTGTGATGCTATTTGGTATGTGGGTAGGTTTGGAAAAACGAAGGCCAAGGTCAATCGTGGGCCTCCTGGGGTCTGTCTCTGGTACTTAGCAGAACTTTTTACTGCAGCAGAACTTTTTTGTATTTTTTTTTACCTGAACATGCTACTATTTCTAGGATATTTTAGTAGCATATAGCTTTTTATGTTAGGAAGAAGTGGTGTAGGTTTGGTCCCCCTACCAGTTTGTTTTGGAACTGCAGGGGCATTCTTGGTAAAATCTTTTTAAGAGGATAAGTCAAGAAAGGAACAATGAACTCTAATGATTTGGGGCATGTAAGTAGCTTATTACATGCTACATACCTCATTTGCTTTGCATAATTAGCTCATGCAAATTATGCAAATGAGGACTTAAATGGCAATTGTATAATTCCAGTGTTTTACATTATAGGACAATAATAACACATTGTCACATGATTGATCAATGACAGGTGGGAACATTAAACAGATATTAGTACACATACTTCCACATGTACAATATATTTGTAATCAGGTAGTGCAGAACCACCAATCAAATATAGATTATGCTGTAAAACTTTATGTTCCTTAACATATGAGACAAATGAAACAAATAAATCTGCAAAAGCACTGAATATTTCGTTGAGGTTTGAGACCTCCAAACTCTTATTGAAAGTGTGAAAAGCTGCAGTTAAAGCTGCAAACTGATGCATTCTGGATTGTTCAAAGTAAAAGCTCATTCCATTGCCCTTTTTTCATGTTCTGTTACCTTTGATTGTGGGCATATTGCTCTCTTGCTTTGAAACTTCCTGTCAGAAAGAAGTGCTAATCTATTGAATTACATTCCTGCCTTGGTTGTCAACACAAATTTGTGTTGTTAATGTGTTGCTGGGAGACACAGATCCACTTAACATTGGTGGGACACGTGTTTGTCCCACAGGCATACATGTGTAGTGTGTGAAGGTGTGGGTGAGAACAATTTTTGACATCATCTATGACATCATACATACACAGTACTCAACTGTTCTTGGTGCATATGCCTTATATGGTGTTAACTCTGGAGCAGGTGAATGTGAGGGGAATTCTAGATTTCCCACGGATCAGTGTCTAGCCAGTGTTCTAGCCATGTCTGCCTTTCCATCATTTGATGGAATTTTACAACTTTTGACTGACAAAATTTTGCCCAATCTGTCATCTTTGATGGTCAAAAATTGGCATATAAAGACATGAAAAAATGCCATTGAACTAAGCTTAGTCTACCAGCAAAATTTGCCCCTCAAAATGCAGCAAATAATGTTCCAGAGGGTCAAGATTTCAAAATTTTCCCAGGGGAGCATGCCCACAGACACCTGTAGGATTGTTGAACCTTCAGTGTTCAGGGCCAATAGAATAGATAGGGGATCTGCATTGAATTCCATTATAAGTGGAATGTTATATTTACTAGAGGTATCATAGGATTGTTTGCATCACCTGCTAACTTAAAACAGCATGTAAGCCTGCTTTCCCAATTCCTAATTCCTGATTCAGAATTTACAACAGTTAGACACAATCTGTTGCTATGATTGCTATCAAAGGTCTGGATACATCATAATTGGATCCATGCAATTATCATTTTTACCTCTGCAATGTACTAGATGGGACACAGAAATTTATTCTTGATTAAATTTTGCTCACAACAATGCTCTGTTACAAATGAGGGGTGACGCTATAGAGAAGTAACCTCCTTTGATGTATGTAATACAAATAACTCCAGCTGTCAGGCTCACAGATTATAGAGCTATTAATATATGTACTTTCACTCAGTATAGAAAATCCATATGTATTCAGCTGGCTATGGTTATACTGTAGTTAAATATTACATTATTCGATGATCAATGTCTAGGCTTACATAGTATAGCTGTGGTGTTATGACTGTGTAGAATGATGCTATGTCAGTCTTTGGGCCAATTCTTTAGACATTTCATCAAAGTCCAAGTGTAACTAGCCTTTTAAATATATGAAAGGTAAAGGTACATTTGTAGTCCCATAGCCTTTTTCAGGCCATATGGGAATGCCAGGAATCGAACGTATGACCTCTATCAGTCTTGTGTCTGCTATTCTAACCACTCGGCCACTGGACACTACAGAGTCCACTAAACATGTGTTCTTTTCTAAAAACAGGTGGCGCAGTTTTGAGAAGAACTCCAGCTACCAGCAGGCGTTCAAGAGCGGAGAAGATGGGAAGATCGTGACCAGCCAGCCCGTCAGGATGTCCGACGACCGCCACGGACCACAGGTGTCTGGGGACTACATTACCAGGTATCATAGTCTATTTACTAGTATATGGGCGAATAGGTTGTCCATTTTCCATTATACCCCATTGGAAGTCCACAAGCTTTTCTGGTGAATTCTGTCTTTCACAGGCAGCCATCCTAACACCTGTAGCAACCTGCCCGTGTTTGTATTCCAGTCACAATCCCCAAGGCAATCCTGACTGCTCTGTTCTGTATCACTTGAAGCTGTTTCATGTTCTGGTTGAACTGATAATTACATGTATGATGGACAGTCCAAACTAGTCTATTCCAGTTTATAGGTGCTACCATGTGGTGAAAACTTTTTGACTTGATGAATGTGGATTTGTTTTATCAGTGTAGGGGTGTATACGTAGAAATAGCTACAATATCATTCTTATAACTTGAACAAAAGGCTATTGGCTAATGCTAAATGAACCAACCACAAGCAAAATGAACTGCTAGGCTAAGTTCATATTTTGTACCTGTTACAGGGTGACCAACGATGCCCGTGAAGATGAGATGAATGAGAACTTGACCCAGGTGGGTGGGATCATCGGGAACCTGAAGCACATGGCCATGGACATGGGCAACGAGCTGGACATGCAGAACACACAGCTGGACAGGATCGAAACAAAGGTACGTGGAAACTCTGGGCAGGGGTGGGAAGTGTACTGGAAAGTATCATTCATTCTTGGTGATGCCTCGGGAGTGAACCCAATAGTATAACTATAGTCCGGAATTCTAGATCTAGGTATTTTATAAATACGTTTCACTGTTATTTTCCAAGCGCGCATAGCGTGTGTAGTCTAGTGGTTAGGTCCCTGCCTCTGGACCAGGAGGTTGGGGGTTCGAATCCCGGTTATATTCGCTCACCCTATACATGCACGCTACTGGAAAGTGTTACAGTCCTTAGGACGGGACGCGAGCATGTAGAATTGTATTGGGTAAGAACTACGTCAACTATGATGCAGCCCTAGGCCAGCTGTCCCTTACCTCTCTGTACCAGAGACGAGTTCTCTGTACCAGAGACGAGTCCTACTCTGTAAGAAGTTTGCAGTGTCTTTATCAAGATCCCCTACTTTCTCCAGTTGGTTACCGCCTACACGTGCAATTGTACATGGCAGAGAACTCAGGTCCAAAAATCAAATCAGTCAATTTAGCTGCAGAACATCGAGATTTAAGAACAGTACTTTACCTTTCATTGTAAAGTTACTAAATGATAGTTGACATGTTCATTGTGTAAGTCATGGTTGTATTGAATCGTTATAGCTGATTTTATATTGTTTAACATTGTTGTATTGAATCGTTATAGCTGATTTTATATTGTAAACAATAACCACAATTCAGCCGAAGGGCTGCTATGGTATTGTATTTGTATTGGTATTTGTGTGGAAATAAATAAACCAGTCATAAGCTGTGGTTTCACTGTTCATTATACTTGTCAAAACCTAGGGGAATTTCTCTGGTACAATGAATCTGTTAATACTGTACTGTCCTCTGTCACGACCAGTGAGCGATAACTTGATCGAGATCAATTTTTCTACGAATGCCTACTGAACATCTGTTTGTCCCCGGAAGTAAGTTGTCTCCATACAGGCCTCAGGGGCATCCGTTTGCTCCAGAAGTAAGAGATGTTATGTCAGGTTTGAATCCTAACAACAACAAGCATAACAACATTGGGTCAGGCAGTACCCGTGTGCGCTTTTTTGCAGTTGAAACAATTCTGTAGTACAGCAGAATTACAAACCATGCTTTGTTATGATTTCATGGTAAGAGGCCACTGCTAAAAACACAAATTTTAAAACAAAATCACCATCACGATTTCCAGTAGTCAGACTGTGTGTTTTTGTTCCAGGCTGACTCAAATGTGGACAGAATCCAGCTTGCCGACAAGAGGGCCAACAAGGTGCTGAGAAAGCAGTGAAAATGCGGACGCACGCGTGGATCTATGTAGTACGCAACTTCTCTCGGAGATTGAGATGGGGACCCAGTCCAATGTTTAACGTGCCTCATGTCAGGAGATACACCAGAGCTATACGCTGTAATTACCAGGGTAGTACTGTAAAGATTTTGTCTTTAATCAATTTATGGACTGCGGTTTCGGAATGGGGGCCAGAATCTTTATTGAACTGCCCTTCTTGTTTCCAGAGTTCACTATGTTGTAATCATCAATTCATGACAGTGATGTCTTTTTAATATTGATGTAACTTTTCTTTCCTATTCCAAGCATATTTAGTAATTACTTAATATGCATCTCCTGTTGGTATTAAAATCATAATTGAACCCTAAAGCATAAGTTATGAACACAGAATGATACATTGTATATATTAAAATGCATCATAATACACACAATCCTGAAGGATATAGTTGTAATTTGAAGTAGGGTGACCGTTTTGGAATCAACAGGATTCAAGAATGACATTGGTTGGTGCTTCTAGCCTAGATTATAGTTTCTATAGACTATGTAGAATCAAGGAGGACCCTACTATCTTCCCATGACATGGTCAATTGTTGTGTCTTATAATAACATCCTTCTGTGTCTGTCATGTTGACCAAAGTTTACGAGTTGTCATTGCTTTTCCTGATAACTAACAGTTCCACAGAATAAGACTTAGTACATAATGCTTGTCCAGTGGTGATTTTGAATGGCTTGAACAAGCTGTTCTACATGTACATTGTAGTTGTCAACCTTATTCCGTCTCAATATATGATCAATACATCATAACAAGGATCTTTTATTCTTTTAACCAGCAGAATAATGTAAGGTGAGTAATACACATGTACATCTCACAACAATGAGTGAAGACAACCCTTTCTGTTGTGACACTTCCTTCTCAATGTACAAAATGTAATGTATGATCATACAGAAGGTACTGCGCCTCCACAAATTCATGATTTCTGTTGTTTGGTCAGTTCTATCAGAATTTTGTCGCGTAAGATATCGTTTCCAACACAAGATTTGAAAACTGCATTTTTTGCGGTACTTTTGTATTCGCGGTTTTTGCGGTCACGTCTGTACAGCTAACTTATCATTACCATGAACAAATAATTTGCCGACTTTCTTTTTGCTGCTCCTGCTGCCACCGTGGACGTATAGTTCCGCGAACATGTCCATTTTTCTGTGACCGTGAACTTCTGCTACCACGAACGTTAAGTGATTTACAGTACGCAAAAACGACCTTAAACAATCATAGGTTCAATAAAAGTGCTATGCACATTATATTTCAGATTTCGTTTTGCCAGCGTGCTCAATACTGCTATGATGAGCACTACTAATATGAAAGAATTGTCTTGATGAGTGTGGTCAATGTGAGATATACAAATGACCATTGTTCTTCTACCATGGGAACATACAGTAGAATGTCATTCTGTTGTCCTTTTATTTCTTCACATCTTTCCAAGTTGGTGACAAAAGGCAAATCTTGAATGTGATTGCATTAAAAAACAGACCACAGTCCTAGACATACGGTACATGTATGTACATGTACATTGCAGTCACAACTTTATGCTATGCTATTTCTGTACACGAGACAAAGTGAAGTGCTTACCAACAAGCTTTTGATCAGTCCTCAGATCACTCTTAAGTTGAAATGATCCAGACTTTTGGCCCCCGGCACAGTTGAAGGATGGCTGAAGTGTTGTGATGTATATGGCTCCTATTCACTCCTCTCAAAACATACTCCAGCTCAGTGTTCAATATTCTGACTTGTATCCAAAGTCATGGAATATGACTTAGTCACACAACTTGATTATGTACCTTCCTTCCATATATCTGGTGATCTGTTACACTAGCTCATTATAATGCTAAAGGTCACCAAGCTACACTTGAATTTAAAAAAAAAACAATCCAAATCAAGTCCTGTAAAATACATATACCGGTAATGAAAATTCAGCTTCCTTGCACAAACAGCTTTGAAACATATGTCAGGTATGGAAAGTGCTGTACATTTCAGATCACATGGCTTGACACTGTGTTGGAGTGAGTGGTGAACAGTGCTCGAGTTGGTCACATGTATCAGGCATACTGCTCTTCAACAGTGCACTTAAAGCCCACACTAATTTATTTCCTTCATTCTCTGACATTTTCGGGTGAAAATATACAAAGTGAATGTCATAAAATCAGAAGGGAGGGAGGAAAACTTGAATATGACTGTATTCTCTCCATAAATGTGTTTTTCAAGTTGAGCCTAATTTTTTTTTAATGCAAGAAGTTGAGAGAGAACCAACAAATCAAATTGATGTGGCCTAACTGAGAAAGAGGGAACTTAAAACTGTGGGCTGACTATTGTACACTTTACATGCAATAAGTGATTTTATTTTGCACATGGGTGTTGGATATGAAGGAATCATTAGCTAAACGTAATGGAAAAGTTGCATTTGTTACCATGATGCAAAGGCAACTGGTCAATCTCTTCAGTATTTAAATCACTGAATTGTGCCATTCTTTGTCCTTTTTCCAAACAAAATGGTACAATTCTGGTGTCTTCCATGTTGTGTTATATGTTTTTATTATACAATAGAAACTAGCTACCTGTACCATGATATGAATCATAGGCCAGGGATAGCAGGATTGTATCTGTGCAGAAAGTTAACAGTCTTTTGTCAGTTTCCATTTTCTGATACATGTATTTGTATTTCAGGTCCATTGTTAAATAAGGCAATCCTATCAATAGACAATACATTCTATCCCTTTCCAGCTTATTTCTAGGTTTAACTGAAAATACAGTAGATTCACACATGTTCAAACATAAATGGCATAGTATTTGGGAAACGAGGCACAGTCTAGTCTTCATGCCTCTTGCACATGCAGCCACTCTCATTGGTTGCACCAGTAATTGCCAAGCAATCATTGGTTTAACTGCTAATTGTGATTGACAGCTAGGATGGCATATTGTATGTATCATTGCATTTCCATAGTTGTTCCATGGTACATATACCATAATCATCATCATCATAATAGCTCGCATAATACTAGTAGCTCACATGATGATACATCTACAGCTAATTTACTGTTCTTTCCTGTCAACTGGCATGTTAATTGCAGTCTTTCTTAATTTTTTTCAGGCAGGTTGTAGAGCAAAAGTGTACAATTCTGTCATATTTCGGTCATTGTTCTAGATATTGCTCACTTATGTTTCTATTGTAATCCTTACGAGATCCTGAACTTCATTTCAGATGAAAGAATCACATTACATAACTTAAGGTTGACTTTATAAAACTGGCTTTGTTGTTTCTTTTCTGGGATGATGGTGTGAAAAGTAATGCATAGTGTAAGAGGGTGCCTATAGTTGGAGTACAGTAACAACATGCAAGCACATTTTGTGTCGTGTTGTGTAATGGTCAGCGTGTTTGGCCTAGAACCCAGAGGTACTGGGTTCGAATCCTCTGACATGCCCCAAAACTGTGCCCCTGGGAAAGGTACTTCATATGACATTCTTCACCTCATTGCTTTTGCAAATTTATGACTTGGGCAAGAAAAGAAGGAATACAGGTAATTATTTTCCATTTCAAAACTCTCTGAGTTGGAAAAAAGGGCAAGTTGGGTAAAATAAATGACCTACAAGAATTTAATACATTACGGGGCTGTCCTTGGTACTGAAAAGCTAACATCTGGGTTTATACGTTCTAATCTACGTGTAGCTGCCTTTTACTCAGCCAATCTCATGGCTAGGTCGGGTTTTGAGCGACAAGCACATCTCCCACGCTTTAAATACGCAGAAGTCCAATGTTCTCAGTCACACTCTGCTTGACATTTTATGGTCTGAACGTTATTCATCATGGCGGTGCAGTCTGGGCGATACTACTCAACAGCACCCCTAGCGTTCCTGAAGCAAACTGCAGCACAATGCAGCCGTGCTCTTCTTTGCATTCAAATCACGCGCACTGAGACTGATGTTGCGTCAACAGATCCTTTTATAATGCTCACTGGGAATGAGCAACCCAGGGGGCGCGGTGTAGATATTAAACTAGAGTTTCCAAGTAAAGCCTGATCTGTCTCCGCGGAGGATCAATTATTTATATAGTTAATCAAAGAGAAAGAGAGAGGCTTATGGAGATCAGGTTTTCATCAGTTCACTTTCATAATAAGTTAAAGGCACCCAAGGCGATTTTAGGGCGGTAAAGCTAGATTTTCAAAGTCAATTTGTTGGTCTTTTTTTTATTGTACAATAACAATTTGTAGTATTATTGAATTTCGAATCTACCCTATCCCACATCATACTGCACCAGTGGGCTAGCCACCTGCTGTAGTGTTTGCACAATTGTGTGGCCCAGGGGCTACAGAAACGGAGATGAGCGCCGCCCAATGCACCATATATACGTCCAGGAAGGAAGTATGATTACTAGTATTTGCCAAAACACCCACAAGAAGGGGCACCGTCATTGCTTCATGATCACCTAGTACCTGTAAACAGATTAAGTACGACAACATATAATCCTGTTATTTGATGTTCGCACGTAGCCCAGATGTATCCAAGTTTTTCTACATTCAAGATACCTTTATGATGACAAAGACCCTAGCCTCCACTGGGCTTCAGAGGTAGCTGCAAAGAGTAGAAATTGGTCAAATAGACAGGCGGTAACATGTCAGAGGAATTAGTCCGCTAAAGCAGTACAGATTGCCGCTCTGGTAGAGGCTACAAAGGTCCATTACTTCTCACCAGTAGCACCAGCTGCCACTACAACCGCTGTCCGTGATGACTGGCGCCTACAGTATAGACCATTACATGCTTTTATGGCTATCTAATAAGTCTAGATGAGGGGGTGGTTCGTAATCTCCAAGCAGATCCCTTTCGGTGGCAAAAATACAGTATCAAATTGGCCAGGCAGTATCCATTAGCCAGAGAAGGTCGCCGGTGGGGGTAGCGACAAAAAAAAACCCGTCCATATATAAAGAGCTAACGATCATTCCTCCACAACCTCTGCTTGGAGAGTAGTGGTTCGATTCATGGGTGTTCCCTGACAGCTGAACTCAGATGATTGGCTGATGGTGTGACCTTTGTGGCGTGACCTTCAACATTCTGTCGGACCTCTCGTGCTCAGGACATTCCAGGGGTTTAGTTGTCGTCATCTGTGGGCGATGTTGTGTAGGCTCTGCCACATCTTGCAACGGGTAGTCTGTCATATCAGCACGGGTTAGCAACAAGGAAACGACTTCATCCATGTAATTTTTAACCTTCAGCCTGCTAAGGTAGCCGTTTGGTACTACCAAATTACAAGTATTGGGTCGGTTCAGCCAGCATGGAGAGGTTTTTAAGGACCCAGGTGGCAGATCAAATACACGGCACTCATTGCATTGGCGATACTACATGAGGATGAATTTGAAATAGACTTTAAGGCATCCAGTGCAGTTTTTAGGGCTATGTGTCAATATGTCATACAGATTGCCTTATTCAGAATATTTCCAGTTTTGCCGCCCTGAAATTGCATTGGATGCCTTTAAACTTACACAGGTTGACCCACACTTATTTATCTTGTTGAACGTAAGAACTTGATATAATCTTGATCTGAAATATTCAAAATACTTTCCATCCAGGTGGAATTTAACATTTGAAATAAGGTGTTATTCTTCGGCATTTAGAACGGTCGAAAAAATGCTTGCCTTGTCATCAGATTGACGATCCATGGCAAGTCTGTTGACCACTATATCAGAGGTTTTCATAGCTAGGTACTCCGCACAGCATTCTGCTTGGTATTCATCCTCCGTCCACCAACGTACGTCGATAAGGCCACAGCAAGTAATTTTTATGGATGACATCAGCGCGCGCATTAGTTTTTGCCTGATTTTGGGGGAAGAAACAAGAAATTTTGTTGCCCTCTGACAGTGGTCAACATGCCGAAAATGTGCAAATATGTCTGTTCCCATGCCAGAACGTGGATGGCAGATAACTATGAAGGCAGGAGACAAGAAAAGACTCTGATTTAATGTTTTGTTTTTACTTTGATGCAGTGATGTGATGTTGGCTGTGTATATGTGATGTTCCCACCGAATCAAAACCATTAGTACAATGATTGAATCAAGATTTTAAAATGTAGGAACCTTGTTTTTTTCGGCCCGCGTCTTGTTTTTTTCGCCCGCTTGCATTAGATTTGGAGTCTGCGGAGGATGTCATCCATAAAATGTATTTGCTTTGGCCATAAGTGATTACACGGGAGGGTATAAGAGGTTTGTGTGCTCGGCTGGACGTTAAACCCCTCCCACAGCGGGTCCCAAGGTCAGCCCGGTAATCATCGGACTCGGGATGGGGTTCTGGAGTCAGCAGAACAGGCGAGGTGATCACCACGCCTACACAGCACATTCGGAGAGGCCTTACTCTAAGCCACAGCAGGTGCGATGACGATGTGTGATTCAAATAATTGGTTACCATGGTAACTTGAATTGGACCAGTGCTAATAGTATCAGGATCTTTCTCTGGCGGAGAAGAGGTTATTTGCGTTACTTCTTGTTTCATCTGGCCAGTTTTTCATTCCTGACATCTGCTTGGTTTTCCTTCATATGGCGATATATCCGTCACCCAACGTGATACTAGTACTCAGCGCAAAACTGTTACATGACACTTTCAGTGGGCACCGTTCAAAGTCCGTTTTCACTGCCTCAACCCAACTTTATGAAGAAGTATAACTTTCAGTTTTCTTTCAATGGTATCTTGGTTACAGCTGTTCGTATCTAATGACAATTTTATATATGTGAAACAACCTTCAATCAAGTTCCATACACCGTTCGCCTTATATGATTTCGCCTAACTACTTGATCTAAAACGTTTACATCTAAAAGGAAAATGCACTCAATAAATGATCCAAGTCACAGACAAAATTGTTTTTGCGAGCATATATTTATCTTGATATAATTTGCTTCGGTGCTAACATAGATTAATCTATATTCATATACAATACAGGGGTTGGCAGAATGTTTTTAGGGTAACATCATGAAGTATATGGTAAAAAAAATAATAAAACGGGACAAACCACTGTGACATGACTGATGGGGGTGTGAAGTCGGACGCCCCTCTATCTCATTTGCACCCTTCTGTACTATAAGTCATTTTCACAGCACGTATCATTGTACAATTCTACCTTTGCATTCGTTGTTTTCATACACAAAATCCGTTGTGATCAGTTTGACCATGTTGACAGTCCTCCAATTGGCGGGATATCGACTATACACGGCACAGATGACAGTAGTTGTTGCTATTGGAGTATCTTGATATATCATTAGCTTTCCCGTTAATTTTCTAGTCCCTGGCCCAACACCAAGCCACTGCTCAAAATCCTGTCTTTCTACACACCTTAAAGCGTACGTAAAGGTTATTCCAATCGAATGGGAAGAGAAAAACCTTTACGCACACTTTAAGGTGTGCTTAAAGATAGAATTACACTGCTCAAAATCCTATCTTTAAGCACACCTTAAAGCGTGCGTAAAGGTTTTCATTTTTCCACTTGGCTAGGAAGGAACAAAAAATTTACGCACGCTTTAAGGTGTGCTTAAAGATAGAGAATTTCACAGAGTGAAGACATTCAGTCGGAACTCGCACACTTTGGTATATGACAATTGACCGTCTAAACGTAAGTAGAAATATGTCCGTAGCTATCTACGATGCTAGAAGTCTCCGTACCGTATCCTCACTGACTACCCACCCTAGATATACCCTGTCGCCAGCCGCCGCTGGAACGTGTTTTACTTCGCCTTGACCAGGGCTCGCTTCGTTCTCTTATCGGCATCCTCAATGCGATTCTTGTTAATTACCGCCTGAAATATCAACATTTACACAGTGAAGTTTTGAAGCTTTGGACAAACACTAACAGCGGCTATTCTGTATTTTTTTTACTAGGTACAACAACGTCGACACAGACTAGAACACTTGGTCTACACACACACGTAACTATGTAGTCTATATAGCTATACAAATCCTTGTATCATACACAGCAAGAATCATCTCCCTTCAAACAACATTGGCTTTACAATCGATGATACAATTCTTCCCTTCTTCTTCTTCTAAGTTTTTTTTGCATATCTTTTTTATCTCCTTTTCCCCCATTTATCTAGTTTATTATTATTATTATTATTATTAATACATCCTTGCTCCTCGCATCCTCGCCGTAAAATTATTTTCCCCTTTGTCAAATGGTACAAACACTGCGTAGGAAACGGTAAGACTATGCGTTGCAGAGGAGTTCATATTCCCAATTTTGTGTGAAACAAAACTCCCGCGGTTGATTTGGTCCTACGGTTCTGTTGCTTTCACAGTTACAGATCTGGCTTCGCACGGAAGACGGAGGAGCATGGATTATCTTGATTATCAGTTTTTTTTGTTTATTATTGCAGATTAATAACATGACTAGCATGTTATATACGGAAAAGCGTTGTTGATCACACGAGGCCCCATTGGTCATCATGCAAGCGTTTTTATGCGATAGAAATACGTACTCCGGAACACCTAAGAAGTAGCGACCACACAACATGAAGGTACAACATAAACGCCGACACATAGACAGTTGACGAAAAGAGAGGTGTGCACAACATTGCGGGGCCTGTTCTAGTCCTTGGCCAGGAGTTTGGTCGCCCGTTGGTTTGCGCTTTTCACACGCATCTCGTTGTAATCGGACTGGAGGACAAGCGTTCAAGAGAGGGAGATAGAGACACACGTAATTACACGAAATAAACCACTTTTACAACGACATTCTATAACGTTACACAACACAGTCACTGTTTTACATCTAATCTTTAAGCATTCCTTAAAGTGTGCGTAAAGGTTCCATTTCTAGAATGGACACAAGAAAATTGTCACTCAAGCAACTGGATAGATATATGAAATTGCTTGCGCAACAATTTTATTGTGTATCTCATTACCTGGATGTATAACCTTCATCGAAAAAGAAACAGAACCTTTACACATGCTTTAAGGTGTGCTCAAAGATAGACTTTCTCGCAGTGAGTACAAGTGGACGTATACATGTACTAACATATCACATATCATGACAAGACAATGGTTGTGGTGACCATGGCATCTTCGGCAAGCGTCGTGCACACAGCTAGCTACATGTACGTACAACCAGTACAACACCAGCAGGCGGCATGCGAAGCATCACACAACAACAACAACAACAATACATCGACGTGCATATACAACATTGACAGGACGGTAGCCTCGGACACCAGGCATTTGTCGAGCCTAGGCGACAAGCAAGGCCTCCTTCTCGAGGCCTGTGCTAGACTAACGCCTGGCGTGCGAGGTTATAAAATTAGGGGCACGGAGTAACCAAACATGCATTAAAACTCGCATGAACCACCACCGCCTCATGTGCGTTGTGGGGTAAGCGATGTGATGTGGTATAAATGAATGGTTTAGTCGCCCACTCATATTGTGAATGATTTAGGTTCGTCATTATTCGATTTATGTGGCTGCATATTAAACGTTGTCAAAAGGCACTTGGGGAGGAACATGATAGGTTCACCCGGTGAACAGATCAAATTCTGTCCCAAGTACCGATTGGCTGCTGTCTGAATAAATGTCTTGAGCCCGTTGGGGTTTGGTTACACGGTATGCATCTCGTGAGTCTTGACGCGGTATGCCTATCTCTCATTGGTCAAATGACTAATTGCCGTGCTATCATTGGTTGAACTGCTAATTGGATCTCAGGACAGGCCCTCTCGCGGGTCAGATCGTAATTGGCCGTAGGTACTTTAACTTGGGATTACAGGGGATTTTCGTTGTCAGCAAAGGATCGAATCGGAGTGGTGACCTTACGGTCCCTCGCCGAAGGTTTGGCACCTAAGATTGGCACACTGTGACACAAATTGCTCGGGGAATATCGATTTATCAATATCTCCTACACCACTTAATGGGAAATTTCACATACGAGATGTACTCGGCTTTTCCAATTAAAAAGAGGTGGTCATGGTTTTAGGTTGACCTAATTTCGTTTTCAGCTCTAGATCTTTTACAATCTTGATAAACCCAAAGAAACAGCTATATATTACTTCATACAATGTCCATTGTATATCGACGAACCACTGGGTATGTTATCGTATCCTGCCGTATGACATGGACAACGCCACTTACAACACTCAGGGGTAACTACTTTTTTTACTTTTTTATATTTTCAACTGTAAAATATTTTTTTGTGGTTTTCAACTTTATTTTGCATATAGGTCGTTTTAATTGATTGTTTTCGATTTGACTTTATTTTGGTTGATTTGGAAATGTCCGGAAGCCTGACTATCAATAAGTTTTATTTTTTGACTCTGTATGGTTATTCTTTTATTTGATAATTTGGTTTTGTAAGATTTGTGATGTAACTCACTATTAGTCTGTGTTTAACTTTTTAGACCCTCTAGCAAATCAGCACTGTGCTAGGGCCACCCGGATCTCTTTAATTAAGATTAAATAACTAAATAAATATGCTCAAAATCCCATCTTTAAGCATACTTTGAGCGCGAGTTAAGGTTCTATTTTTCCACTGGAATTAAGGACCTTTACGTGTGCCTTAAAGTGTGCTTAAAGATAGAGTTTCATGCAGTGTAAAATTCATTATTTTATGACCAACAAAGGACATGTAAAGGATTCCCTTTTCACTGACAAGTAAATGAAATACCGGATGAAATTTATTACTTTCATTATCATTTCTCAAATGTCGGTAGAATATCCCAGACAAGCTATGAAGGCTTTTTGTCTCCCCCCCCCCGCATATCCTCGTTTATTATGCTGATACTACTCTCTTTTGTTATGTTCATACTAATTCTACTACATGCTCATTTTACTACATGCTCATTTGTTTACTATTTATTTGCAAAATAAAACAAAGAAACAAACGTCGATGAAGTGATGACTGTGGGGGTGGAATGAGGAACGTTATTAGGTTGGTTCTGTCCTTGGTACTGACCTTAGACTTGATCCTGTCGATCTGGCGGTTCTGGCCCTCGATCTCAGTCCCCATGTCCACGGCCATGTGCTTCAGGTTCCCGATCAGGCTGTTGACCTGGCCCAGGTTCTCATTCATCTCGTCTTCCCGTGCGTCGTCCTTGTTGACTCTGGGGAAAATCACAAGTAGAATGTTGACGTACGTATACTAAGCATATTATAGATAAAACTACTTTCGCCTAGACGATTCTGCTTTAGGAAGCGTTTTTATGTATATTAGCACGATAACTCATGAAGCTCTGGCTGGATTGTCCTGACATTTTGTATGTCGTTAGGTTTTGGTCTATCAAAACCTAGTGATTAATCAGACTTGGGACCCCCGGTGGCTTTCCTTGGTACTGAAACAAAACGTCCGTGTTTGATACCCCGTGTTCTTGACATGCTAGGGTGACGATTGTGAATATTTCGGATAGCAATTATGAAGGTATGGTTAGTATGATCAGAGACATAACCAACGCATGTGATTACTTTGGAGATTTGCCTCATTATGTTTTACATACAGATACTGTACAACCATGTTTGAGGCGTCTAATAGGATAGCATTGGCTGGGCGTCTCTGACGCTAGACACTGATAAGATTTCAGTTAGTATCTTCACAGATGTCATGCAAATCTTGAAACTAGTGCAGAGTTCAACACAGATTGATTCTAGATTATGTCCCGATTATGTCCCGAGTTACTGAATCGGCTTTATAAACATGCTGGTTATGTTATGTCCAGTATAAAATGGGTTGCTGAAAAGTCTGTATAAACATGCTGGGTTATGCCCAGTGTAAAAAATGGGTTGCTGAATCGGTAGTTAGAAACCTCATGATGAAGTCTCCGGACAGTTGGACGGTCTGGCTGGGGTCGTCCATGCGCACGGGCTGGCTGTTTACTACCTGCCCGTCCTCGTTAGCCTTCCACGGGTTCTCACTCTCCTGCTCTTTGTCAAAGTCCTTGGTTCTGCAGAAAACAACAAATGCGTTGACTTTTTTTGTACCTTATTGACTGTCTGTCTGTTTGTTTGTTTGCTTGTATGTTTGTTTATTTGCTTGTGTGTCTGTTTGTCTGTTTTCTTATATGTCTGCTTGCTTCTTTCTTGTTTGCTTGAATATCTGTATTTTTGTTTTGTTCATTTTGTTCATTGTGTAGGGAAATGGTGTAACTGTAGACTGACAGGAAGATCGAATTGGGGGGACAAAAATGCTTCACGGAGGCGTGGAATCTTCAATTTCTTGTTGCAATCAGTATCAGATGCAATAAATATATGCACAACGATGATTTAGTAGTATATGTAGCAAAAAATTGACAAATTACATGTCTGCGTGACGACATACTGAGAGTTCTATTGATATAAATTTGACCCAAAATTTTCCATGCCTATATTTTGCCGCAAAAAAAGAACAAACTCACTGGTGTTCTCAAGTACATTATAATGTCCTCGCTGTTATCAAATTACTTTGGTGCACACGTATTAAGGTTAAAGAGATACTAGCCCCCAGAACACGGCCAGTATCATAACGGCCAATGCCCGTCTTGAAAGTAAACCCACATCTTCTTACCTATTCCAAGGAAGCACACAGAGTCCGCAGCACTTTTCCAAGTCTTTCAGAGCGCCTTCAGCAATTTTCATGTCCTTGTTGATCTGGTCCAGTCCTTCTTCGATCTTTTCCAATTGTTCTGTCCAGAGAAAATAATGCAGGTGGCTTTTTATCATAACTCTAACCTGATATTTGTTCATGTATAGGACAAATATGTAAGGGTAAAGAGTACAATCGCCGATTCTACTCGTAGAGATCTCGATCAACAGAAACTCTGATCGGGATCTTTTCCGATTGTTCCGGTAGAGATCCCTATTGGATCATGGAGTCTAGAAATTTGATAAGATATTCGCTTAAAAGACAGTGAGACAGTGATATCGCCCCAAACAGGTATCTCTTACCTCCTTGTTCATCAAGTGCGACCAGGGTCTTGATTCCTTCTTCTTTCCCCTGGAGGAATAAAAATTGTCAGACGTCTGATAACTACTGCAGTAAAGATAGCTCTATGTTCCATTACCAAAGATTCGTCATTTGGACACCAGGGTCAGAAATTTTGACCTGACAGTTTTTGTTTGACTGTTGTGATGCGCAAATGGTCAGGGGTTCTCGTTTTCGTTTTTCGAGTTTAATATCGTCCTGAACAACATACACACATACATACATACATACAAACACACACACACACACACACACACACACACACACACACACACACATACACACACACACACACACACACATGTACATACATACATACATACATACATACATACATACATACATACATACATACATACATACATACATACATACACACATTTTGCATACACAAAACCACTTCCAAAAACATAACGTTAACTTTCCTGGCTGTCAGTGTACATTCATGGTCACGATGTTTTTTGCTTTATTTTTCCATTGTTTGTCTACCCTTTACAATAGGCTCCGTGTTTAGTCATGGACTGGCGTTCATTCTCCTAGCGCGGTGAAATAAATTATGATACAGTATTATCCTACGCACCTAACTATACATCTCCCAATTCTCCGCCTGTATTGCCCTTTTAAGGCATCCACTAAACTCCCGAAGAAATACATAACCACATAACAAAGTAAATAGGAAAACAATGGCGCTCCACGCAGATGTCTAGACCGGTACCTAGCGGAGAGACCTTGTACGGCGCCCTGGCCATGGCCATAGAATCGAGTAATGAGAAGCGAGCAATTCTGACCGGCCTTTGAAGGATGGGCCCCTCAGGAAATAATGCAGCCGGATCGATGGACCGGGCGGAGAGATTCACCATAGCCCAGGCTGGGCCTTTAGATCATAGCTGACTATCAAGGGCTGGAAATACCACCTGTATATGCAGGTTACTATAGGTAAAATTGGAGCTGTGCAGGTATTTCTGATGTGTACCTGCACCTAACCTGCACTGGTCCATGTACTGGGTATATGCAGGTTAGTGCAGGTAAAATTGGAGACTGTGCAGGTATTTCTGATGTGTACCTGCACCTAACCTGCACTGGTCCATGTACTGGGTATATGCAGGTTAGTGCAGGTAAAATTGGAGCTGTGCAGGTATTTCTGATGTGTACCTGCACCTAACCTGCACTGGTCCATGTACTGGGTATATGCAGGTTAGTGCAGGTAAAATTGGAGCTGTGCAGGTATTTCTGATTTCTAACTGCACCTAACCTGCACTGGCCCATGTATTTTGCTTTCATATACACATTGTAGCTGTATGTGGATTCTTATTTGCTCTATTGACTGATATTTCATACATCGTATATGAAGTATAAAAGACATAATGGCAATAGTTTCTGAACAGTTTATAGTATGATCTATGCTTCCTAAATTCTGAGTGGTGCAGGTAAAATGTGTCTGGTGCAGGTAATTTTCAATGTTGCCTGCACCAGTGCTGGTGTTCAGAAAAAAATATTTCGAGCCCTGAATACAGAGACGATACCTCATAACCGATAATCTACCTGCCTTTACAACACACTGATAACGACTCCGTGATATCTATGCCAGGCGCATCAACCAGGGAAGGTCACGGTTAAATATTGATTTGCTAAGGCATGTCTGTATTCTACTCGAATTATGCATATGTAAAATCAATGAATGACTGCCTGTGTGATATCTGTCGTCAAAATACATCACATATCCACACAATGTTGTTTTTGGTACTGATTAAAAGTTAAAAAAATAAGCTGCTTTACTCCACTCATTCTGTGCTGATAGGAGACTGCATATGCAGATTTTGTATTCCTTGAATGTCGATTAGCAACACGTTAATGATTTTTGGTTATGCACACTTGCCAACGTCTTTTTCTCATGGCCGTAATAATTGTATCCCTGTAAGTGTATCCCTAATAATTGTATTATTCTTACACTCGTCCATTTCATCTTTTCACACAATCTCTTGCACTTGAAATTACGTGTTACCCGCCATAAACTTCAAGACAAATCTGCAGAAAAATGTTTCAAAATGTACCATGCTAATTTATGTTACTGCATTATTTCATAAATGATTTATTTCCATTTGAGGCAACCCAGCACTCATAAACACATATTTTCTTTCAACCTGGTCTGGAAAGGCCCCCTTTCCACTACATAGGGATCACTGAGTGACCGTTAAAACCACCGCCAAAATTGAATTTATGTGACCTTTAAGCTTAATTTTATTATTCTATTACAAGGTGCATGGCGCAAACGTATGATTTAAAAGACAACGAGATAGCTCTTTGTCCACGAAATTCGTTGAACGATTTGTCAAATACCAAGACAAATACATTTTAGTCGAATAGCAGTCGCAGCATCTAGTGTAATGAAGGTGTAAACGATGTTCAACAAAACCCTAAAATGGCCCCATAACCTAAACGTGGAAGATGGAGGCTCTGAGTGGGGGTTTTGGGATCATGGCAGCTCGGTGGGCGGGGCCCGCAAGAGGGCGCTTTCAAACCCCATCACAAATGTAACCCTCTCTGAACGCGAGAAAATTGTATATTGCATAATTCATTCCCATAAATATGGCTAACTGTGGTTCAAAAACCGATAGAGACACTGTCAACACATTTTCATGGCTATAGCTTTTAGTCTTGTCTTATTGTATGGATAAAAAAAATGGGATGTTTTCAGACAGAGTTGTCTAGAAGAACAAGTGGCGTTGTTGTGCTGTCTATGAGGTTGAGTTTGACGCTTTTCAGCCAGCCTTCAGGCAGTGGATCAGCGCAAAGACCGAGACAATCCCTCTGGCCGCCCGCCGGTGTATAAATCGATATCGGGATAGAATCACGGAGGCCCACTGAGACATTCGACCTGAAAATTACCGTAATCCTTCAGCAGATTTACTGGTGCACATCCCCATTCATTTTTCATCATAATGCAGACGACCGCAGGGGAAGATTTTGACTCAGTAAAAGGTCGTCTGCGAAATATGCTCAAAATCATCAGGTAAAAAGGCGGGAAAAGCACAGCCGGTTCAAACAGGATTCTCTGATAAAAAAATCTTAAATTTTGCTCAGATTTTGACTCAGTAAAGGTCGTCTGTGAAATGTGTTCAAAATCATCAGGTAATAAATAAGGCGGGAAAAAGATCCGGTTCAAACAGGATTCTCTGATAACAAAATCTTTAATTTTGCTCTCATTGATTTTTCGATTATGGAAATATATCGCTCAGGTAGGGGATAGGTTTAAACGTGAAACGTGTAATCTATCTGGCCAGAATGAATGTAAATCGCCATGATATCGATAATGGGATCAATTTGTCACATTATAGACACGGCGAATTGTTGAGGGTCTTTCATAGTCATGCACTCAGTACTTCTTTTTTCATGCATGCAAATGTTTGTACTGTCTTCAGAGGCAACGGCGGGAAATTTCGTGTAGGGGGTGGGGTAGAGATTTTGGCTGAACAATTTCCCCCTATCGAGCAGCGAAGGTGCTTTGGACGATGGGGGTCAAGGGGCATGCTCCCTTAGAAAGAAATGAAATCTTAGCCCTCAGAAACGCCATTTTCTTTATTTTAGGAGGGGCCAATTTTGTTGGCACACAAAGCTAAGTTTATTCTCTTTATTAGAGTACGATTTCGCCCACGAACTTCTTCCACGAATACTTAGTTATCTTATTTTTAGTAAGGCAAACAAGGTTGCTTTCAATCTAAATAAGAGTTTCAGAATGCTTTATCTTGGACATGGGGAGGGGTGTCCTTTTCTGTTACGTTACAACTGTTTGGAGCTATTCTTGTTTGTATAATAGCGTCTGGAACCGCCAAGTGAAAACCCGGTAATGACCCAGCTAACGGTTCGAACAGACCCACATTTCGGACATAAATTGGCTTCTGGCCCTGAGGCAAATTTAACATTCCTCTTCAAGCAGAGGTTTTGGCTTTGGGTTGTTTTTTTGGCGCGCTTTTTGGGCGTTTTTGTGGATCTTTCTTTGCTGTATTGGTGTTATTTTCAGGTAGTGTATTGGATAATGACATGCCAATTTGATACAGTAACTGTCTTGCCAATTTGAGACTGTCTTGTAGCCACCAAATGATCTGTTGGAGATTCAACATAAATCTTCTCATACTAATAATGTTTATGAATATATGTTTTTGATTCACAATCCGTCCGAGGAATATTTTCTTTTATTCTGACAAAGAAGATTTTGCAGAGATTTGTAAGATGCAACTGGTAATTAAGATTATCGGCCAAAAAAAATTGTAATTAAAAAAAAGGGTCGATTTGGTGTATTAATGTCCACCATCTTTGCTGCTGCATTATTTAGCACGCCAGAGAATCACCGGATCTACAGGCAGCTATGTTTGTATCTATACCACTATTAATGTTGTCTATTACCACGTGAGATTTTTGCACAATCCGGCCAAGCTTAAGTTTATTTTATTTTATTTTATTTTATTTTATTTTATTTTATTTTATTTTATTTTATTTTATTTTATTTTATTTTATTTTATTTTATTTTATTTTATTTTGTTTTGTTTTGTTTTGTTTTGTTTTATTTTATTTTATTTTATTTTATTCTATTCTATTCTATTCTATTTCATTCTATTTCATTCTATTTCATTCTATTTCATTTCATTTCATTTCATTCTATTTCATTCTATTTCATTCTATTTCATTCTATTTCATTCTATTTCATTCTATTTCATTTCATTTCATTTCATTTCATTTCATTTCATTTCATTTCTATTTTATTTTATTTTATTTTATTTTATTTTATTTTATTTTATTTTATTTTATTTTATTTTATTTTATTTTATTTTATTTTATTTTATTTTATTTTATTTTTACGAAGAAGGTTTTCTAAGGAGGTTTAAGTCAGTCTAAAAAAACTCATTGATCTACTATTATAGCCAGAAATGTATTTTTCAAAAAGTGTCAAATCATTATCGACAGAAATGTAATTTTGCAAAACAGTGTCAATTTTGCGTATCAATGTCCACCCTCTTTGCTGCTAGATTAATATTTAGTAGGCATCTATGCTTGTATTTATACCGCTATTAATGTTGTCTATTACCGCCTGATGGCCCTCACGGTTTCTGTATTGATCCCCGGGACAGATAGGCTTGTTTAGTGCCGATTACTTCCGCAAAACCCGCTATCCCAGGCCCATTGTTCCCTCAGTATGATGCACGGGGAAACCTTTATGTCATATTAGGGACATGAATCACTGTCCGCAAAATATCGACCTTCTTTGTGTCTCCTTTTAATAATGATATAACCTTCCCCTTGCTGCCTAGCCCTGTAAACAACGCAAATTTTATCTGCTGACAAAATTTTAAAAAGTAATTCAGCAGGGAGATGGCTAAACAAATGAGTAAAAAAATATTTACGAGTGCTATTATCATTATTAGAAGCTAGTCTTCCCCACTGGCAATGTTACAGCCAACATAATACATTTATGGTGAGGCCAGTTAATGCTGAGGTCAACCCGGGGCTAGGTCGAAGAAATTTGCGGGAACAAAAAGTGTGATATAAAAGATGATAAAATTGAAATAAATAGTCATAAGCACTATATGTGTACATTCTTGATATTGTGTTTTTATCGTCCACGCAAACAGCCCGACAAATAAAACAATACAATGTGAAATAACTTATGTTAACGTCGCCACTGGACCTAATTATTATTATCATTATTAAATAATAAATACAGCACAAGACAAAAACATCAAATAGGTAAGGTCCGATGTACAGGAACAGAATTAAACAATTAAGGTGATGTTATCTGAATACAGTACAAATCAGTGAAGAAATCGCTTAATTTCGGATAAGTAGAACTGTGTGATAGCAAGAATTTGAGTTTGAGGCTCTGCTTTGGGAATGTGAGCTTCGGTTTTCCAGGTATATACCCCCAGTGGGCCTCCACAATCCCACGGTTTTCCCCACCGTTAATTAGCGGGCTGAGTTCCAGCCGCGAGCAGGCTCAGCAGCCCTCCCCTCCCGTTCTTCCCAGCGCCCGGTATCGACCCCATTGATCCGCCGGGTCCTTCTCACAACACGGGCGGCTTCAGGCGCACAATACGTGCACGGACTGGAACCGCAACGGCACCGAGTTGGTAGATTTGATTACGAGTGTGTAATGTGTGTGCTTAAACCTGTTCTGATGGACTCACAATGCAGTGCTCCTATGTGTCCATTAATATGCGGTAATTGTATTGTTGTAGCCTCGTCCAGGCTTCAGAAGCGGTTAAAAAGAGCAGAAATCGGCCACATATTGACAGATTACATTAGCCTCTACCAGGTTTCAGAAAAAGGGTGAACGATCGGTTTTAGACTATGCGCGAGTAGATGTTAAAGTGAAGATAACAGATAGCCTAACGTTGACAACTTAAAAGACACCGAAGAAAGAAAACGCCCTTTGTAATTACGCCTTAATTTGATTAATGAAGGGCAAAATAGGAATTGCAAGAATACGGGGCTTGCATAATTGTGCCTTCCTACCACGTGGGAAATATGGGAGGTGGTCGGTGTTGGCATGATGAACGTAGTTCCAGAACCATCCTAAAGCCTCCTCATCCTGGTATTACAGAGCCTCAAGGAAGTATCCAGAAGCTTAATGGACCTAATCTGACTGGAGGTAGATTATAAGAGTACAGGTGACACTTGGGCCGACCTTTAGTCATACCCAAAGTCTTACAGTACGGACTTTGCCGCTATCTACTCTCCTCAGCTGCCTGACAGTGAATATACGGGGGTGGGGGGAGTTAGTGTGCTCTTCCTGAATGACGCAGTACTCTGGATTTTCTGCATTTTTCAGGGTAGGTAAAATTTTACCTTGCGTCATTTCTGTTATTTAGTGACGCACGTTTCGAAATTGAATTTTTATTGGCGTCACACACATTTGAAAACTGCTGAAGATTTAATATAGAACACACACAGACACTCACACACACACAAGCATACACACACACACACACACATACACACAAGCATACACACACACACACACACACACACACACACACACACAGACACACACACACACACACGCACGCACACACATACACACAAGCACACACACACACATATACACACAAGCACACACACACACACACACATACACACACATACACAATTATATATATATATATAAAGAGAGAGGCACACAAACACAGACACATTCACGCACACGTGCACGCGCTCACACAAAGAATAACAAACAAACACACACACACACACACACACACACAAACACACACACACATAAACACACACAAACAAACAAACAAACAAACAAACAAACAAACACACAATACAGCTCGAACAGAACAGTCCAAGAGGACATCACCAAAGTTTAAGTCCTCTACTTTACGATCCGACCATCACCATCAGATAGCAGACCGTACGTTAACGTTGTAGCCAATGACTAATCGGTACCTTAAGACACCGGTGTCAGAGGACAGCCCTTTTAATGGATGTAATCAATGACTTTGACTCTTAAGGCTTCAGGCCAGATCGCACAACGCCTTTTCCATCGCTCCTTAATGGATTTCCGAAGTAAATGCCCTGCCCCCTGCCCTCAGTGACTGGTTGTTTTATGGAAACGTGGAGCGCTACAACATAGAAGACCATCCCCCAACCTTACAAATGAAGAATCTGCCAAGATAAAGGCCGACGCTTATAATTATCAGTCCCACAACTGTTAGTAAATTTTATGGATGACATCCTCCGCAGTCTCCAAAACTAATGCGAAAGGGCGAAAAAAAACAAGGCGGGTAAAAACCCAAGATTTTCAAATTTTCACAAGAATGGAGGTAACAAAACATGATGACACAACCCACAGTTATTCAACTGTTTTACCTGTCCTAGTAGATGTATGTGTGTTCATCTTGAATAACTGGAACAAAATGTAGAAAATGGCTTGTCGTACCATTGTGGGTACACAACTACTACTGGGTATTTATGTGCAATGGAACACCTTAAAATATCAACACACCATCAAACACGAGCAATTATGCCTCAAGTTTGCTGGATCTCTGACGGTCTCAGAACCGACAGAGGTTTACAAGTATTTGCCCATTTTGTCATGTTGACCACCGTCAAATGTCAATAAAATTTCCATTTTTTTTTCAAAATCAGGCGAAAATTAATGCGCCCTGATGTCACCCATAAAATTACTTGCTGTGGCCTTAAAAGTTCGGCTATGAGTTGACCCTGGTGTCACGATCTCCCTGCTACAAATTGGATTCGCTCGAGGCTTTACTGTCGGCCTTGCCCGAGAGTCAGAGAAACGCCATACCTCTTCCATCAGTGACAGCATCCGACGGGTGCTCTCCAGGGACTGAGGAGGGAAAATGGGAAAAACACAACGATTAGCGATTCTCATGTCAGCTCACAACTAAATATATCTCCTAAGTGCAAACACGATATGAGCATGTAATCGGCACTTGTGCGTAATTGGTATATCTAGTGTTAGCCTCTAACAGGCTTCAGAAGAGTTTAAATTGGTCAGATAGACAGATAACATGCCAGGGGAGATGGTCCGCCGTACAAATGTACTTCTCCAGCGAACCAACTCCCTTCAACATATGATCAATTTGGCCATCATAAGATTTCATGATGAAGGAAACGTACAGTATAATCGTACATAAAACTATACATAAAATGTTAAAATGTTATGATAATGGGAAACATGGTTAGGAGTGGGTCGGGAACAAAGTCGACTGTATTTGGCTGGTATTCGAAGAAGTCGGCTACTCTTCGTCAGAGCCAAATGTTTTTTTTAGAATTATAAAACCATTCAGGTGTTGACGGGAGTCGGCTATGGTTGTCTGGTGGTCGGGTGCAGGTTAGCAGTGGTCGGGGTGTGCTCCTGGGTCACATTTGACTCAAATTTAACTCAAATTAAAATCGATTCGTTTAGATCGAATCGATAACTCTGATCAGACTGCTCCCGAACTTCAGCCAACCTTGTTTAGTTGGTGGTCGGGTGCAGCTTATGCAGTGTTCGTGGGTCACATTTGACTCAAATTTAACTCAAATTCGATTCGATTCGTGTGGTATCGAATCGACAAATCTGATCAGACTGCTCCCGATCGCGAACTTCAGCCACCCTTGTTTTTAGCTGGTGGTCTGGGGAAGGGTGTGAGACTATAGATTGATGTACGTGTTTTGACTGGAAGGTTCTGTGTTAGACAGAGATTGGAATGGAGTACCAATCTCCTGCAGTGATCGATAGCTCACCCTCCAGATTTCTTTTGAACCATATAATCAGACGGGCTAACCAATACGGCCAGATTCTCAACTCAAGATGGGGCTTTCTTCGACAGCGTAATTCGTTTCTAACGGAAATCTGTATTCCGCAAACACACACACACGGGCAGTGCGCTCTAGCGTGTCTTTGTCTGGCGACAACAAAGTTGTCAGACTGGCTTAAAGGCATCCAATCCAATTTCAAGGTTGAAAACAACAACACGAAATATTCCGGATGAGAAAATCTGCCTGTTATTGAAATTTTTGTCATTTCTGTCACATTTTTGCCAACACTTTCATCTTTGAAGCCTTTGAAAAAGCTGGAACACAAGCTACGCGAGGAGGCCCTTTATTTCATTTTTGGTACGTATTTGGTATACACCAATAAATAGTTAGAACCAGCAATACAAAACAAGCAGCCGATTTCCATCTACGACAACGCATTTTTGTCTCACAGATATCAGTATGCTATGGGAAAGGGTTCATTCAACTTGCTATATTTAAAACTTGACCATACTTGACAATAATTAAAAACTGACTGAAAATCCAGCTGCCCTAAAGTCGCTTTTGGTGCCTTTTACGTATTATGAAAGTTAACTGGTGAAAAAGTAATCTTCATTTAAGCCTCTCTCTTTCTCTTTGACTGACTGTATAAATAATTGACCCACCGTATATATAGCACAGGTTTTTGTTGGAACTCTAGTTTAATATCTGACCAAAAATTGATTTTGAATAACCAGTTTTTCCGACCCTGAAATCGCTCTGGGTGCCTCTAAAAATACAAGTATCGACCCGATGTTGTTTGGGAGCGATGTTGACATTGATTGATCACGTTAACACAGGGGAAATCTGCATACGGAGTTGACATTGATCAGTGTGTTGTTTTACAACCAGGCTGTCGCCCCATTTGTGTGGGTTTGATGTAGCGCGGTCGGGTGAGCAACTTGGTCACGTTCAAAAAGGTCTGTAGACCGGGAACGAATTGTGAATATGTTTGAATGGTTCTAGCTTAGAGAAAACGGTGAATTGAATCTGATATATTTATGCACAAGCGTTCCCAAGTCAACAAACAATTAGCCACTTGAAATACATGTACAGAATGAAAAATTGAATCTAAAACTATTCCATATTTCAAAGTTTTGGAAAAGTTTTCTTTACCAAATTAATTTTAATCCCAGGGGCAAAATGAAGTTTTGTAGTGAAAACAAAGTAAATGTTTTGTAGTGAAAACGTTAGTATTTGATTGACTGCATTTGTTGTCCTTGTACGTACAATAGACTTTCAACCATGTCATCAGAAATAATTATCTGGCCGTAAAGACAATGGCATCCTATATTGCGATGTTAGTGATACTCTACTCTACGTTAAATATGCCTGGCATGCTCTTCTCAAAATGAGTTTTTAAACGTCTGCAGTGACATACAGTCAAGTCTGATGTATGAAGTTGATTTTTAGTACGACGACCTGCGAATCAAGCAATCAGACAGCAGCAGGGGAGCTGAATTAGCAATCGGCTGTCACACAATCACGGAAAACCTGCGATGTGTCAAAGCGTTCGTTTTGTCGTGGGAACTTTAATAACATAGTGTGCGGTGACAATAGGTTATTTACTTTGTCATCACTGATACAAACAATTACGTAATAAATTACGTGATGTGCATGGATATAAGACTGGAAAATCGTAGTGGTACGTAGGTATTGGCTCAATAATTTTATGGTTAAGTATATTTCTACTTGACTTTGTGGTTACCTAGCTTAAAATTACACTCATAGATCTGAATTTACAAGGAGATAGAGACAAAGTATTCACGTGGAAGTATATAAAAATAGTTTTAAGTTCATGGTCGGGGGGTTAGTTGCAACATGTAAAAATGAATAGAAAGAGTGTTCAGATAGTACAAGTGAACAATGGTGACAAGAGGAACAAATGACTATTCAAGGAGCTGCTACGAAATACGTTCTAAGTTTTGTTTTGTTTGACTATTTTGGGGAAGTTTTATGGAAGCAGTGGAAGACAAAGTGCCCCACTTTTCTTCTGGAATGAGTGGGTGTGGAAACTTTTAGAAATGGTGGTGAATTCTGGTGGCTTCCTGAAATATCTACTATAAATACATGTATACGTTTGTAGCAACGTTGCGCGTAGGCTGGAAAAGCTAATCACAAGACTTTTTGTAATCAGTGGCTCTACCTCCAACATCGTAAAATATCACGGCTGTTGCCACCTCCCCATTACCGAGACCGCAAGGCTAACAACAAACGCAAGGCAATTAGTGGAAGTTCACCGCTAAAATGCCTGAAGTTCAAGGCAGGACCCACTGTGATTGAATCAGCGCCCTGAAACTCTATTAATTTGGTCTTCTCTTTTTGACAGAGGCTTTTCCATGTCGTCGACAGACTGCCGAATTAATTGCGCGCATTTTCACATCGCGGTGAGGGGAGGGTCGCCGTTACTTCGGTCGCCTCCAGCCGGTAAAACGTGAACGGAATCGCCGATGATGCTGGGGAGAACGTACCTGAATTTGGCACGAGGATGGATGGTGATTTTTAGGCAGCGCCATGGGGCGGGGATTTTGCGCTGTGTGTTTTATAGATGAGGTGAGGGGCCCTCTGTACACTGCTCATCAACGCACAGACACGTCTCTTGATAGAATTTGCAATTGCGGGCGTCGCTGGGTCACTGACAAATGAATTTAGAACCAGCAGAGAAGACTATTCTCTAAGGCAACTTAGTTCTCTCCATGGGGTTCATCGTCTATTGCTCTGCACTGCATGAAAATCCATATTCAAGAATACATTAAAGAACACGTAAAGGTCCGTTTCTTCAGTACACTGAAACAGCGGGACATTTAACCATTATTTAAGCTATGCTTGAACATCGAATTTTGGGCAATCCTTTTTTGCTGGAAACCAGGGAGCATGAGACCTGAAGATTTCAGTAAAGACTGAGACAGAGATTCTTCTTTGTGTTGTATTTTAAAAAAAGCTTATAAGTCATAAAGATTTATAAAGGATTTATATATATGCATGTATGCGCAGAATATTGCCGATAGGATACTCTGGTTGGAATGCATCTAAATTGAGGCTGGCAGGGTGTCGGCTTGAGACAAGGTCGTGGCATGTAAGATTTCTTCCCACGGCTTCTGGAATCTAATAGATCCCTGGGGCCTCAGGTAACGCCCCCGCAAGCTGGTGCTGTCTTATATCCAGAATCCAAGTGTATTCAGATCTGATCCAAATATTGATTGGAAAAACGCTCAATTACAAAAAAAATGCAATTCATGAAGGAGACCTTGAGTTCTACTGTTTATAATGCAACTCCGTAAGTTTTATTCTTTGTCAGAGGTAAATGACTACTTGAACTTTTGTCAGTGTTGTTTGTTGTAGATCACTCGTTAAAGGCATTTTTCCTGTAGTCTCGTATCGTTGCAGAACCACCAGAACTTCAGAACCAAGGTCAGAGGAAAGTGATGTTGGTGGTAGCTTACGGTAGAAGCGGACACTCGTTAAAGGCATTTTCCTGTAGTCTCGCATCGTTGCAGAACCACCAGAACTTCAGCACTAAGGTCAAAGGAAATGTGGTTTACCAGTTATATATGCGATACAAAGAAACTGCTCTTTTGTAATTATGGATCACAGACAAACAGGCAGCTTTAGTCAGATAGATGAGAGATCATATCAGTTGATGAGTTTGCTCGTATTTTCCGCACGTTTTTTCCCTATTCGGTATTGGCGTCTTGCAGAATAATCGATTAGATCTAGGTCAAAACGTTTCATCATAATGTGTAACTCCGGGAACTGCAACCCCCCGCTGTTTGGAGTACATTTGCGTGTCCCACTTTCACACGGCTTACAACAAAGTGTTTGTCGCGACGGTCTAGTTAAACACTATAAGGAGATTATCCACGAAAGCAAATGGGATTCTTGCCTAGAATAGAATTCCAGCCTTTTCTTCACAGAAATCACCTGCACATCGTTTCCATTTTGCTTTTCGTGGATTTACAGCCTTTTGGTACTCCGTAAGTAGTATTAGTATTGTACGTTAGCAGGTATAGCTCATGATCTTTTTTTGCTGTATTGGTATGTAGTTTG